TTGGCTTCTCCCTACCCATCATCCACCTGCCTTTGTAAGCAGGGTCCAAACTCCAGCATAGGAGCAAGCCCAGGACCATAAGAAGGGATGAATTACAGTGATCTCAGGTGTGGTACCACCTGCCTTCAGCAGCCTCCACCTGTGGATGAGCACATACTACCTGGAGGCTCATGAAGCTTCCTCTAAGACAAGATGAAAAGTTAACCTTCTCATGCCAGATGGGATAAAAGACTTGCTCTCTGCCAGGTCTCATAACACCAACACATCCGACATCGGTTTCCACTCTTGCCACTGTTGATTCCACTAGCAAGGGTAGGATTTTGCCCTCAACTATTCACAAGTAATTAATGCATTATTGAACAAGAATAAATAGATAGCAATTAAATAACAAGTATTAATGACTTATTTATTAACATATTAATAGTTGGCCTGAGAGTAATAAATGCAAATTAGTGTAAAGTGGTACCAAAAATTGTGTCGATAATAGGCCCTGAAGTAATCTTGTGTGTTCAAGATAATTACAAATATATTTTCCTTTCAAAAAACTACTGCTGGGTAATTTTTTATGGTTTGCTATAATATCATTTTAGAATTAGAAAATTAGCCCTAGTCTCAGTAAAATAATTTTGCAGTGCATCAGGCTTTATTTCAAGTGTAAGTTTTGTATTATCTTCTTGCCTATAGAGTTTGCATTTTTGGTTTTCTTTTCATAAACCCTCTCTATGTGCAAACCTTTTGGGCCTATGCTTGATACGCTAATGGTGTGGTTTCTGCTTGCTGCTTGTACAACTTTTCTGAACATTTGTATTATTATGTAAAAAGTCCCACTGCAAGCAGTAGTGGTACCTTGAGGGCTAAATCCAGTAAAAATGGCTGAGTGCCAGATTACTTTTTTCTTTTTACCCCTGCTGATAGCAATTCACTTGATGATAAATAGTTCAGAGGCTTTAAACATGAGCAAAGTGATGCACTGGGCACTGCACACCTAACAATCGACCTAGTCACAACAGACCTCATCCATCCCTGGTCAGAGCCTGTTTTACTAGAAATATTTTATATATATTTACTGATCTTCTGTTTTCAATGGCAAGTTAGCATATTCCTGCCTGCCACTGGTCCTGATAGTCCTGATTATGGAATTTGACATACATTTAAAACGTTCCCATCTCCAGTAAAAGACCAATAAATATTCAGCTCTGCCTCCATATTTACAACAGGTTGAGGAATGAGGGTCCAGGCTTCCTCTTAGCAGAGGGTGCCCTGAACAATGTTTCTCCAATTGTTTGTTTCTACAAATGTTTCTGTCTGCCTCTGTAGGTGGCATTTTTACTTCTTTGCAGCTTTCGTCATTAAAGGCATTGTAAATGACTTCTTCCAAAACAATCAAGTGCGTTTTTGTATGGTAAGGGGCTTTGGCGGCTCTCTCTCCACAGTGCCTTCTAAACTACAACATAAATGTCATTGTGGCCATGTAATCTGTGTACCTGGAAATATAATTCGTTTTGTTGCTAATGAAGGTCCTACGGCACAAATTTATTAAAGGTATACTTTTCCATGGGATAATAATTGGGTCGATAATATTAAACTCGTAGGCTCATTATTTAATTGCAAGGGCAGATCATGAATACAGCTTCTAAAATGTATTTTAATGAAAAACACTACATCCTGACCTAATCATATCAACCTTATGCTATCTAATTAAGGATGCAAAAAATCATTAGAGTTGCAAAATATTAGTTTCAGCTCCATCAGGCTGCTAGCTGCCCCTTCATGAATATATATAATTTTTTACTCTATGATAAATAGTTAATGAGGTAAAAATGACAAAATTTGCATGTAGGCAAATTAGTTTAATAGAGTGATGTCTTTCTGGTCTACAGAAAATGACCTTTTTCCTATCAAAAGAACAACTAAAAATACTTTGAAATGATGGCATGGATGTCATTCCACAAATGACAAATTGCATCTCTGAACAATATAAAAATTATAAAATGCAATAACCTTAAATTCTCATCATACTGTAAATGTGTCCTCTGCTGCTGCATTTATCAATTTAATAAAAGGAAATTAAGCATATTATAAAATACCCATTTATGGGGCAATTTTTAATCCAGGGAATAAAAATGAGAAGCACATGGTTAATAGCAAGAAAATATTGCAAAAACGTAGACCTATTTTTTCCAGAAGGTTTGACTGACTATTTACTTGAATGACCTCCATTTAAAATATATTTTTTATATGGAGTGATATAAGATATGGCAGTCTCATGCTTCCCCTTATAAAAATTGCTTACAGTTAATTTGGTAACTTATTTAAAGATTAACACATTAATAATGCACGCAATAAGGCCTAGGGATGTGTCTTCCATACTGATTACTTTGTACAATTAGACATACAGAAAGAGAGGGACAGGATAAATACCTTATGCAAATTCATGGCAGAAAAAAAAGTCTTTCAGTATCTGCAATGCCTAGGAGCATAAAAGACCTGAAAATAGTTCCAGGTCTTGCAGAGAGATGCTCCATGTGGAGAACATATATCTGGAATGGAGCAAGTTTTTATTACAAATTAGATTTGCCGAAGAGGTAATGAAACTTGGTTTGATAGTTCTCTTTTCCATCAAATAATATAAACAAAAAAGTTGGAACAGAAGGGGAAGGTTTCAGGTTTTTTGAAGAACATTGGTTCTTTTTTCACAGTATTCGTGTTTCGTACAAATATCTTGGAAATTTGGGACAGTAGCCTCAACTCACAAATTTCCCTCATTGTGAGGCAGATCCTGTGCCCACTGAAGTAAATGGTAGAGGTCCTACTGCTACCAGCAATGCAAACTTCTTCGCTTTTTCCACATGACTCCTATCTGCTTATATCGTATAGTCTGCACCAGTATGTCCAATAGAGAACAGGAACGTTTAACACCGTCACAGCCTGGCTGTGGGCTGATATAAAGGAAGAGGCATGAAGTTTGTGCAGATGCAGACAGAATAGGAATCAGAAGCTTGGGGACTTAAAGACAAAAGTATGCATCTCTCCGCTTTGTTGAATGAAACGCGCACTGCTGCCTACGCAGCACAGGAGGTCTTCCCTCTGCTCTGACTGCACCGTCCGTGCTGGATCTGGCTGAGTCTGGGTTCATTTTAAAGGATTTGAGACTAAGGTCAGGTACCCACATTTCAATCTGGCGTTTCATACATGTCAAGCTGCATCTTGGGAGCAAAACTAGGCAGTTACATATGTCTGTAGCTGCAGGTCACATTTTTCAGTGTTCTGTCTTACAGGAGTGGACAATCCAGATTTCTTCCATTCAGGGACAGACTATTTGTATGCAGAGAAACGACTTTTCTTTCAATTCTTTTCCATTTGTCTTTACGCCCATCCTCTCTTTCTCCCCTCACCCTTTTTTTTTTCTTTTTTTTTTTTTTTCCCTCATTCATCACTTTCTGTACTGCTGCAAGAAATGATATGCTGTTAACATCATTAGGGAATGTATTCAGCACTTGAAACAGAAAAGTAGTTGTTTGCACTTGCCTTATCCTCCACTTTTTCCATATGGCATATAAAATGACTTCCACTATATGTATTCTTTGTTTGAGCTTAATAACTTGTAATAAAGGTAATAGAAACCATCCATCAGTGGCTATGCTTTGACTTACTGTAGAAAGTTTTTATGTGCAAAAAAAGGATTATTTTGCTTACTAGGGTAAAGCAAATAAATGTTATCTGTATAAAAAGTGGGAATGTCTGAGACTGATGGCTGTGAAAATAGTGCACGTTCAGTCCTTCAGGTTTTTCCCTCCCCTCTGTTGAAATGCAATGTGGTGTTCTTCACTTTCCAACAAAAATTAAGCTTACTGAGTATCTGCTTTTTCATTTAATTAGCACATTCACCTTTTTGTTTTTCCTTTCAGGGTCCAAACTGTCATCACAAAAAAAAAAAGTGGAAAATAATTACAGCTGTGGCAGATGTTTATAGCAGTAACAACTGAGGCTATATATTTATATAAACTGCTGATCTTTCAGAGGTAGTTATAGAGACTTGAAAAACCTGCAGACCCTAATCTGAAATCACTTGTTCCTGTGGGTTAGAAAAGAAAACAAAACAAACAACTCGTACATACTTCAGAGGACTAATTTCCTTCCTGTCTGGAATCTGTTAATTTTCACACTGAAACAGGAGAGTTACTGAACCAAACATTGTACACAGAGGCACTCATAGATGTATAAATCCAACTGATGAGCACTTTAACAATTGTCTAAAACCTGTTTTATAAAATAGTCTTATGGGAATTAATAATGCTGTGCAAAGCTAGAAAGTAAGGAAGAAAATGTCCTACACAGAAGGAAGACAATGTCCCTCACAGACTACTGACCATGTTACTTCTGTTATTTTCAATTTTCTGAAAGCAATTATGACCAGAGACCTCATTTGTGGTTGGCATCCCCAAGACTGGACACTTTGCAAACAGATATATACCTGCATATCGCAGCTTAAAGTCTGTATATGGGAGTAGAGTCTAGTGGCTTAATGGAAAAGAAAGGAATTATGTGGATAACCAAAGCAGAGCACACCAATTTTAGATCTCTCCTACCTCTCCCTGCACTTTTCCAAGTCAGCCAACTCCTCTGAGCAACCCTGGAAGGAAAGGGCTAGGAAGGAGAACATGGCTATCGCATCTGACTGACCAAACTCACATCCCTTCCTCAGGGCAGCACCATCCACGCACTTGCAAGGAGCAAATTCTACTTGTCCATGCAGCTCCCCAGTTTGCTGAGCTGACTGAGAAATTATCTGGATGGTACTGACATTTAAACAAGCACCAAGTCTCTATGACCCAGTCAAGTATAACCAGATGGCATAGATAATTTTTTACATCAGTGATGCCACTAAGCTGTTGGATAAAAAGCGGATTGTAACCCTTCAGGATGCTCAGGCAATGAACGTACAACCACACAAAATTCTTCTGAACATGTTTCTTAGCTTCTCTATTCAAAGAAGAATAATTTTCTTATATATCTAGGTACTTTTAGGTAATACCCTGAAATACCAAGCATTAGTTTCGGCCAGTATGTCACAGACTCCTTTTAGAGACTCTGCTTGTCACTCACCACCCGTCTTTCACCGTTGATTCCTCTCCACTGCTCAGCCCTCTTCATAATGTAGCTCAGCTCCTGACTAGAAATCTCCAAGTCCAGTGGAACAAAGAATGTGCCTTCCTCACCATGAATTCGATGAAATACATCCAACAGCCAGCCTTCGCTATGTAGCCTAAGGATAGAAATGGCACATTTGGTTTGTCTTTTGAAGGGCTCTTCATGTAAAAAAAGAAAAAGTTGACTTACCCTTTTGTAGACTTCTAAATCTGGGTTTTCTTTTCATGACTATGTTCTCTACCCATGAGCAAGAAGCTTCTTTCCCAGTGGTTCTCCAACATACAACCCTCCCCAAGCCTCTGGAGACTTTACAATGTCTGCATCAAATCACATAAACTTAAGGAACAATTTCTTTTAATTATTTCAATATACTGACTTCCCAAAAAGATTCTGAACTTCCTTTCCTTTAGAAATGTCCAATATCTGTCCTAAGCATTGGTCTGGGTAACTAGTTCCAGTGCTTACATGGAGTACCTCAGTTAGGCATGACTGGAAGTTCTGCTGTGCCAGGGTTCAATGATGCGCAAACCACATCATATAGAAAGGAGCAATTCAACTTTTTTTCCAACCCCAAGCCTGAACTCTTTACAATCCAAACTTCTCTTTATATTAGAAAAGTTCATTTCATTTGTTGGCTTTGTTTTTCTACGACATTTCTATGCTGTGGTAGGGAACTGAATAAGCACTACACAGTAAAATTGTCTGCCACAAGAAAGGCTTGCTGTGTGGTATTTCTTAATGTAGGTGAAACCAAGAAATATTGTGAGGCTTTTGGAAAAGCCTAGTGTCACATTTTTAGCCTCACATGAACTTTAAAATTTCAAAACATTGCTGCCTAATTCAAATGGATCTTCTTTGAGTTCATCTCTTTCTCATTCTACTTTTATTCCAAAACCAGGAGTTCAGAAAATAAAGATCAGAAAATCTGGAATCTCAGCCTTGGATATTGAACTGAGGTCTTTCCTTTTGTACCCTCCTCCAAGCTAATATTTTATTACAATTCAGCTGTTGCTTGCTGCCAATTCTCAGTTTTCCATCCTTCCCAGAGACTGCCTGGGCGTCACGAGAAGCACAGGGATTGCTGTGTGGCCCTGCAACTAACAAAATGTCCAGATTTCTGCAGGGCTTTACGGGTCCTTCATTTCTTGGCAGGAGGGAGAGAGCACAGGCACAACTCCTTTGACACTCTGAGCTCTCATGCTTTTCACACACAACAGCACTAAATGCACTTCTTTTGACTGATCCATACTCTTGGGTCTTGTATTGGCATGTATATGCTAACCAATGTGTGTGCAGGTGGAGGGCTGCGGACTGTTCAAGTAAATCAGAATTAAGTTCACATTTATACTAGTTCTACATCTCACCCTACAACGCACACAGTAATTGCAGAGAAGCACTCTCAATAAGCTGCTTAGTACAATTTTGCCCACAACTGAGATTTAGTGTGGAACAGAAATAAGGAGATGCACTAACATACAGTTTTTCAACTTGATCTCAAGAGGAGCCTTAGCTCTCTCTTCAAAGGGGAATATGTACCTTAGGGTCAAGCTCTATATCAAATATATTCTGTGATGGAGTAGCTGTTCTGATACTGAAATCTGGCAGCCTAGCTCAACATCAGATTAGGGACTTCTATCTCTTACTTTGCTGCAAAGGCCCTCTCTATACTTTTTTCCCCACACTTCTTTTTTGAAACATTCATTTTTGAAGCTGCAGCCTTAAATTTGCTGTAATTTCCAAGATATCATTTGGAGATTCTTTTATCAAAAGAGGAGAGCCACTGGAAGATAACTTAATCAACATGTAGGTAGTTCTGGGAATACAAACAAGACAGCTACCAAGAAAAAATAGAAAAACTCTAAAGTGTGAAATGCAAATCAGCGCTAAGGCAGAGTAGTATACTAAAGTATCTTAAAACACGCTATAGAAGATAAGAATTTTTTTATGAATGACTAATACTCTTCATGAAGAAATTTTCCAAATTACACAGTGTCTTCAAAGAAAGTTTTGTCTCTTAATCTCTGGATCTACAGTAGATGTTCTTTCAACACAATAGATATATTTTTGCAAACATTGACTGAGAATTATCTTCTGCTTAGTTGAACAACTAGCAACCAAGCTGGTGGGCTTTCTGGCCTTCTGCTCATCTTGAAACAATAATATTCTACGGTGTTTGTCTTTGATATTCCAGGTCAGCAATTTAAAAGACTTGCCACTTATCTTGCTAAACAAGAAAAAGACCTTGTCATTTATTTAAGCTCACTTAATCTAACATTCTTATTTCAAATGAAGTAAAATTTAATGCGGTTAAATTACTGTCTAGTTGCTGCCGTAAACATTTTCTGTATGAAGATTTTAAGCACATGGTTATAAACAATATAATTAACTCTGAATTAATTAAGAATCATGAAGCCTGTCTTCCAGCTTTGTTCCTTTTGCCCAAAAAGTACTCAGCCTGCTCCTGTTACCTGCTTTGATTTCTTTTCTCTAGCACAGAAACTAATAAAACATTTTTTCTTATATCTTAACATGGCTTCCTATAAATATGATAGTAATAATTTCTATTGCTAATGCAATAAAAAGCAAAACAAAACTCAGATGCTATATTCTAGAGATATGAAACTTGTATACCTTACAAATTCATTTATTTATCAGAAAGAACATAACACGTTGAAATTTTCTGCTATCCAGAGTCAGTTCAGAAAATGGACTTCTCAAAAATTTACACAAACTAAAAACTTAAGGGTAGTTTGAGTGTTTTAAAACAAGTTATTATATCTTCATTTGAGGCTTTCTTATCCTTTTTCGGAAAATAACTGTAAAAAATATAAAAATAGTTTTGCTGTTAACATTGAAAAATGTAGATTTTTTAAGCTTTTTGTCCAAAAGTATTTCAATACCAGGAAATTTAGACTCTTTCCAGCAGACACTTCTAGTTAAGACGGGTCTGCATTTTCTCACAGGGCAGAAAACATTTCACCAACAAATTCCTGACTGTTTATAATGTCTAGTGGAATTAAAATGAAGGAATTGCAACCAGTGCCACTTCATTTTTCCAAAAAGTAATTAGAATATCTCTCCATGCTAAACGTACTACAGCCTCCCAAGATACTCAATAGGAGCCAGATTTATTGAGGTATGTTGGTTTATAAAGACACAAACAGGTGCCTACTGCTGTTTATCCCCTGCCCATCATTTCATTAGTGTCCTGGTTGTTCATCAGCGCTGCCATGAAGCTTTCTAGCTGTGGCAGAAACAGACGATTCCCCTACTTGCTTTGGTGGTCCAGTGGTTTCACTGTTCTTATCCCTTTTTTATACACTGCTGAACACTTCTGTTAAATGGTAAATTGCTGAGTAATTCTGACCAATGGTACCAACTCCACCAGTCAACAGCCAAAGTCTTCCCTGTGGATGGGTGTCTTAGGATGCAGAAGACATCCCTCAATTTTTACACTGGTTTATCTTACAAGAGGAAGATGTGGTGGATGCCTGTGTAAAAAAATATACGTTTTCCGAGTCAAGCAACATTACATTTGAATATCTTTGAGATATAAAACCTGAGAAATTTCACACAAAGGGAAAATTCTGCCTTGGTTATAATACTATCTTCTCCAGAAAACCAATGCTGATATACTAATATTCAGGAACAATGTTATGAGTTGCAGAGATGCAATTTTAAAAGGTTTTAATGCTCTTGTTAGTGGACTGACAGTGCACTGTTCAAGAGTCCTAGCCAGGTCCAAGGTTCCCACTGTGTTGGGTTGTGGACACACAAAGAAGAGAAAGTTGATCCAGTTTCAGAAGCTCATAGTATAACTTTAGTCTGCACAGACTCCAGTATTCAAGATGTTTCTTTTTGTTATCAAGCAAAGAACTTCAAAGACCTTATACACTGTAACAGATTTTGTTATCTTCCTTTCGCTTTTGAATTTTGCTATGAATCATTTTTAAAATGTGTCATACTAAGACAACTTTTTTCCCCTAGTAACATTCTCTCCCCCCACCCCTTTATTGGAAAACATTATGGGAAAATTGATCCAGAAGGAAAGGCACCTTTGATGATCTTGCACCTGTTCCCCAGACAATGAAGATGTTGGTAATATTCTCATAAAAACCTGCCTTACAAATGTTTTAATTTAAATTAATTTTCCTGAGTAATAAACGACAGCAGCTAAAAGTTATGAAGCTATTCAAAACTATTAAGTCAATGATTAAGAAGGCATTAACATCTCAAAAACTAATTAACTAGACTACCAGTACACTGGAGTTGTGTACAGCTTCCAGGAATGCAGGAGCTTTGTAATACTCTGCAGAAATTTACATTCCCATTTATCTTTTTCCTCCCGGTGCAACAGAGTTTGTGGAAAGGAGACTGAGGGATGATTCTGTCAGATGGAAGGTGTATGCTGAGCTTTTCTGTTCTTACACCTTGCATCTTGCCTTTGCATAAGGCTTTTTGTTGGTGCTTGCCACCACTCAATGTTCATCACTGGGTGAACCAAGGGCCAGTACAAAATTCATACTGGATTATAGATGAGTCACTCAGAAAAAAAGAAAATACACTTTTTCATTAAACATATTAGACAACCTATCTCTTTCATTTTCAGTGTCCCACACCTGTCATTATTGACTGTATAGGTAATGGTGCCTGCTGGAAAGGTGGCAAGAAAGGTAACTGGTCAAATTTCATGATGAACTGAATACCGATAATGGGTTAAAATCATGGAAAAATTATTTGGATTAAGTCATGTCAGGCAGCAGGTTAAAGTCACATCAAGTCAAAAATCCTGTATTTCAAAAGGCTGTAAGACTCTGAGGGCCATTGCAGACTCAGAGAGAGATTTTGCACTTCACACTACATGCAGCTTTCTGAATTTTTCCCATTTCTCACAAAAACTCTGCTTGGAAGACTAAAGACAATGTCTTCCAAAGTACCTAAATAAAAGGTACACATGCTTTAGAGCTTAAATCCTTGACATAGCATTGTCTGAAGCCAAAGGAACAGAGGCTCCTCGAATCTATGAAAAATCACGGTATCAATTGTGTTCTTGTTGAGGAAATAAATGGCTCCCTCTCTGACTCACTGTGCCCACCAAATACCGGTGCATTAAAAGTCAAGCAGGAACTAACCCCTCCTTGATTGTCTGCAGTTCTGGGCTCTGGATATGTGACATTGATATGCCATTTCTGATGTCACTTTATTTTATCTTACAGGAGAAGAAGCTTGAGCCTAAGCTCCAAAAGGAATAATGAGATAAAGAGACATACCTTAAAAAGTATAGGTACAACACTGTTGATGAGATGATGAACAGAATTGTATAAAGCACCACAGTGATCAAGGCACCAGGAATCCCTGACTCCTCTGCTCTTAGAAAGACCCAGTAGAGCTTTGCAGCATCAGCAATGGGTTTCTCTACACCATTCCCAAGTCGCTGTCATGGGGGAAAAAAATCAGCATAAGAAAATTCCAAACCTGATTAGATTATTTACCTATAGACACAAAAGAACCTGAATTTCTTTATAAGAAGGATTTAACTGTAATTTGTGGGGCACCCAGCTTGAAACTTAAGGAGTCAGCTACATAGAGTTTGAAATTAACCGTGAGATATGAAATAAACTATTTTCTGGCTTATTTTAGTACAATCAAAATCTACCCTGTAGAGGAGGCTTATTGAACAAAACCCATGTCACAGTCAAAACGCTCAACATGAGCTTTGTTAGCATATTTCAGGAGAAGTGGGAAGGGAAGAAGGCTGAAATTTTCCCTATTTCAGTGACCAGAGAGGCATAATATTAAATGATTTATGCTGCTGTTTTTAGGAATGCTGAGTGAGCAGAAAAGACTTGTGCCAGTGCATAATTCCAAACTGACCAGTTTCAAAACGACTTGCCTTTGTCACAAGAAAAATGCTGGTTCCTACCAGACTCAGCAAGTTAAATTATTTGGAACATGCACTTTGGAGTGTTTATACACACCAATTTCTAATTTGAGACCGAGTCAAGGTTTGGTGCTACCACTGGAAAACAGAAGTAACCATCATGTTATCTGAAATGCCAAATTGAATTATCAGGGCATCTACGTGCATTGCTAGCTGACACCTAGGATAGCGTTTCCACTAGCCTTGCAAACAGCAGCATCAAAGAAGGTAGTGGATTCACAAAGCTTCACTGAGACCCAATGAGGTGAGAAAAATGGAGAAAGCAACTCCAAGTAGATCAAGAGGGGGCACCAGCAGGGTTTTGTTAAGTTTTGCCCAAAGTGGTTGATCTTTTTTTCAGTGCAGAAGAGAATTTCCCCCTTATGAAGCAGTATATTAATCTATGTACATGCGTTATCAAGTCTGTCTGCAACATTTTAGGTGAGAAAATCAGATATTCCCTTCAGACCCTGCTTCTAGTGTCCAGTCGGTCCAGTTTGGGAAGCCACAAAGAACAGCCTGTAACATTGAATAACCAACAAGCATCAGCATTATTTTATGACATAACTCTCATTTAATTTTTTTCTTTCCTGAGAAGAAATAGAGCCACAATGAGATCAATACCTCTGAAGAGGTATATACTCCCATTGCTGTGCTGGAATTAGAGATACCTCTTAACTGCCCAAAGTAGCAACTGTAAAATGTGTCATTAATATAAGTTCTCCAAACGTACGTGACTGTCATATATCCTACTCAGTTATGCTGTTAACAGTTTATGTTCAACTGCTCTGAAAATAAAAAAATACGTACAATTATTCTCATTCTACTGAAGATGAAACAAATCTTTAACACACTAAATACTGGTAAGGAATTAATATTCCTAGAACAAAAATAGTAATTTAATTGGGAATAAGGTGGTTTGTGTATTTTTGCAAAGATTCACAAAGAATCCTGAAGGTTTTGTGGTACTCTATGTTTCACTATACTTCCAGTAAAACATGAAAAAAAGATTTTCCAAAATTTTTTTTTTCCTTTTTTTTTTCCACATATCTAGTTCTTAAGAACTAGCTACTGTATTGACATGTTATTGCCCTCTGCTGGATCGATTTAGAAGAATTCAGCTATATCTGGGTCTTCTACTGCTCAGAGCTAAACTAAATTCCTCTCTTCACTTTTTTTCTTTTTAAAGTGATACAATGACAGACATATCCGTATTAAATCACGTTAACACATTTTGCAGGGATGTGAAACTGCATCACCAGAAAATCCAATATTTATCATTCACAGAGGAAGTCTGTGACTTTTAGGCTTCAAGAAACCTGCACCTTCCTGAGCAACTTACCTGGACTAATCCTTAGGAAAAGTCAAAACTTTCTCCCCATTTTTTGCTAGCTTTGAAATGACACGCAATAAAGACAATTACAAGTCCAATGACAAGCTGTGCAAGAACTGAGATTCTTGAGTATATTTCTGTTCTCTCTCCACCCTTTGCAACACTGCCACGTTTCTGTAATGGAAATTACAAGTCCCAGGAGAATGGTAATGACATACAAAGACCAGTCACTAATTCAGATCTGTCCATGTCCTTTACAAAAAAAGTTAACTTACAGTATCTCCTGGTTCTGTTCCATCTCCTTGTTCTACCCTCTCTGCTTGGAGGAAAAAAAAAAAAAAAAAAAAAGCAGCTGTCTGCCTCCATCACTTTCTTACTGAAGACTGTCTACCAAGGAAAATCCCCTGCACAGTAGTCACGTCCTGACATCCCTCCAGAGAGGCAAAAGTCTGAATGGCAAAATGGCAAATAAGAGTAAATGTCTTTCTTATCTGAGCAGATCTTTCTGGCAAGTCAAAAATGGTGTGGTGGAAGTATATCTTTCTATCAATTTTTTCTAACAAAGAGATTGTGTCAGTCCTCCTGTTGTCATTAAAGACATGATCCAAGAAAGGTATCTTTGAGATTGTTTCAATAATATCTGTCAAATATCTGTCCTAGGTACTTACCACACTAGAGTGATTGTCATGTGAGCACTTTGCAGTCTCTGATATTTTTTTATTATGATACTTATCCATGTCGCTAAAGAGGTGTTACTCTCTGCATTTTACAAGCTACAGAGAGGCCAAGTGACTGGTCTGGGGAAAGCTCTGGAAGAACTGAAGCTGGAACTGCATTCTCCAAAATCATAGGAAAGTCTTTTATCCCTGGAATATCCTACTACAAGACAATAGTAAATCAAGCCTGGATTCACACATTTGACAGAGTATCTCAAACTATGAGTTGAAACCCCTAGACATGCAACTGGCTTTCTAGTCTTCCCTTAATAATAATAAAAAAAAATAGTTAATAAACAGAGAAACCTTTGTCTCCAGGGTTATCTGTTATTTTTTGTAAGTATTACGGTGATTTAGGATAAATAAATACATTCTAGCACCGAAATAACTCGTATTACCATAACACAACATTTTAAAAATACTTGCTCTAAAATAGATTGGCAAGTAAATCTGAAATAGCTGCTGAAAGAATGCCAGGAGAAAAAAAAATATTACAAATGCAATAATGAAAACACATGTAAGAGATATAGTTTCATTTTGGAAAGGATACATGCAATATATTGTGTAATATTTGAACAAATTGGTTTCTACCAAAGATAGTCTTGCTGAGTAAAATTGCCAAATTTTCAGTTTGAAGTACAGAAAGAGGTGTGCTTTTTCCAATGCTGTAATGAAAAACTTAGTTACCTTATTCTTATTTAGCATTTTCCTCTAACCAAGGAAAGAAGCCCTATTTGAAATTGATAATGAATCCAGTCGGACCAGAACCGAACACAATTCCACTGAAGTCAATGGCAATGATTTTCTCAATGCAAGAGTGGGACAGACAAGGGAGACCTCAGCCTTTCCTCCAGTTTTTATGAATATACCAATATTGGGGCAGAGGGGGAAGCCTTTTAAATATTTGAATATTTCTAGCTTGGATATGGGAAAAAACCTTTTTTCTCCTAGGAAAAAAAATCTTCATCAGAATAATTACAATTAAAAGTCAATTCTTTGCATGGTTTACACTATGAAATTTACAAAAGAAACAGAACAGCAGTCTGTCTAAGTAAAAACTACACAGTGTTGCCCCATGCTTAAAATATTGCAATTACCTCCCCAAGCAAGCTCCAATTAAATTTCTTGCACAGCTCTATTTTAATTTTCAAAACAACTGCATTGGGAAACAGCATGTAAACAGTGGAATATCACATTTTTAACAGGACTTCTTAAAAGCAGAGCACAGTTTAGTGGATGAAGAACCAAGACACCCGAGAAAACATGATCCACAACAATAACTGTAGATTACTGCTTGATCTGGAGTGAGCAACAGAAACAAAGATGTCTTTGAAAGACAGGCAAGGGCAGAAGAACAGCAATACCACACCCCCAGAAAAGCTCTCAGTGCCCTGTGCCCATCAAAAAGACCCTGTGCCACCTGCACAGTGAGAGCCAAATCTGAAACACATGTTCCAGGAGACGTTACCTCAGATATGTTAAAAATTCTCAGCCACCTAGGTACAGATGGCCTACGCAGCGTATACATAGGCACAGATAGAGTTAGGAGTCTCTTGATTTCCTCTCATGATTTTACGTATG